CATCTTCCCTTTCACCCCCTCCCCAAACACAGCCCCTCATCTTCCCTTTCACCCCCTCCTCAAACACAGCCCCTCATCTTCCCTTTCACCCCCTCCCAAACACAGCCCCCACACCCCCATCCCTGTCCTCCCCAAAGGCCTTCAGTTCCCCCTGCCACCCCTCGTGCCTCAGCACGGCTCTTGGGCCTCCCTCTACCCACAAGACCGGGCCGTGCCCTCGCTGTGGCAGCAGCAGGAGCAGTGGGGCAGGTGGGGAGATGGCTGTCACTGCTGTTTGCCCATCCTGTGCCCCAGAGTCAGCTCTCTGTGGGTCCAGTGTGGGACCTCCCAATGCCCTCTCTCCATCCCAGCCCCGGCTGGTGGGATCAGRCCCTCCAGTGCCCACCTTGGGCACCCTCCACAGGACCCCCAGGTTGACCAACCTTGGCCAACAGGTGCCCGTTCCAGCCTTCCCCATGTCCTTGACCTCAGTCTTACCCTTAAAWCCATCTGCAGGCAGGGGCCAGCACAGGCAGTGCTGGTGGGACACCTCAAAGGGCTGCCAAGACACGCCACCCTGGAGCAGAGACATCAGACATTCATGTATCTATGTACTAATCTAGTTGGTTAGATTACGTGCAGCTGGATTAGGTACACTATRTGTTGCTAATACACTATTAAAAGACTTATAGCAATATATAAAAAGGTTATCATTGATAATACATTGACAGCAATTACACTGTATTTTAATAATATGTAAAAAGTTACTACATTCTTATATTGATAACATATAAAAAGGCTATAGAAARTTTTCCATTAATAGGCCTCATAAGCACCTTGTCATTTTGATATAAACCACCTGTATGAGCAGTAAACAGTGACACCAGAACAGTTAGACCCTGAGATGGTGAACAGAGTGCCCTGCTTCCCCTTGCTTCCCGGAGGAGTTTGGCTCTTCAGCAGAGCACACATCCTGCAGTTATGGATACTTCAGGAAGGCATAGCCCTCACCCAGCCCTCCTGTGCTCCCACAGAGCTCAGCTGTGCAGGGCTGTGCAGGTTTTGCCATGAGACCCCCAAAAATCGCCTCCACCCTCTGCAGGTCCTATGCAGCTCTGATTCATGCAGAGGAATCCTGGGCCACATTGAACAAGGACATTGCCCACCCTCCTGGTCCCATCCTTCGCATCCCATAGTCACTCTCCAAAAACAGGGCTCTTCTCTGCATGAGACTCTTATGGCAGCAGGACTTGGTGGGCTGCAAGCATCCAACAGCAGCAGAGCCAAACTTTAGGTGCACCAAGAGCTGCTCCTCCTCTTTCTCCTCCTCCTTGTGTTGTCTCACCATCAGGCAACAGCAACTTCCTGGCGTTGCACACAGCTCCTCATCAGCCGTTAGGAAAGAGCTTCTGGTGTCAGGGAAGGGGGACCTCAGAGAGCCTTTTCTGGAATGCTTCATGTGGTCTTTAGCAAGGAGGTGAGCACACAAGAAACCATCCACTGATGGAAGATGGTGAGTAAGAACCAGACCTGAGCTGTACTGGACATGGGGACGGGACACTGGGAGCCAAATCTCCTGGTTGGAAAGGTTTTGGGGGTGTCCTTGTGAGAGGCTGGATCTGGCCAAGAGCCTTGCTTCTCTTGGAAGGCAAAGTCCTCCTGTACATTTGAGCTGAACTGAGTTTCAAAGGTTTCTGACCAGTTCCTGGCTCAGTGAAAGGTTTGCTGGGTGAACTTGGGCTGGACATAAACTTCTGTGAAAGGAGGAGACTACACTCCCACGGAGTCCAGCAGAGCCTCCACCAGATAAAATGCATTGGGAAACCTGGAACTGATCACAGTGATGGCAGTACTATACACCTTAGGGTTCTGGGCAAGTCCCAGCTCATGGAACAGGCCCAGAAGTGATGRTTACAAACCACCAAATCATTCAGGTGCCAGAAATCCCAGTGACATGTTTGGGACTCTGGAAAGGGTTGGGGTTTTTTTCACTAGTTTGAGTGAAAGCCCCACTGCCAGAAGACAGGAAATGGCACATTTGTGCTGCTTTAGCACTGCTATACCAAGTGCTGAATTTGAGGGTTTACCTTGAGAACTGGGGTGTCTGCCTGGAGAACCTGCACTTTTGTAAGTCTTTATATATAGATTTGATCAATGATGTCTAAAAATATTGCATCAGCTTCTCTCCATATCAGCCCTTCCCTTGTGAAAATTAAAATTACACAATCACAAACCCAAACTGAAATCCCAGAAGGAAATGAACTCCAAAATCAAAGCATGCAGCTCCAGCAAAGTAGCCAGCTCTGGTGCAAAGGGACACTGTGGTCTGGGGATGAAGAGAATGGGAGAAAGAGGGAGGGTAAGGTGGGTAAGATGATCCCTCCCCTCTCACAAATTTCATCTGAGAAGCTTAGGAAAAATGTGGCCCCATCCCATAGCTTTGTGCCATACCTTCTTCCACGAGCCATTCAGCCTACTCCTGGGAGCCATTCTCTGGAGGATCTAGAAAAAGGTGAATTTTGGTCCCTGAGGAAGCTGAAGGCAGCTCTGTGCTGGAGCAGATGTGTCTCGGTTTGTGAGTACACAGTGTGAACCACACAGGAAAGACASATGTCAGAGAAATAGGGCAGTCTGCTGCCTCTTAGCCTTGTTTTTTCTGYATGCGGTCTTTGGTAGGATGAGTCTCAGCAGTACCATCACAGCTTTTCCTCCAGGGAGGGATCCAATGGCTCTCTGTGTTCTCCCCCACCAACTCAGCATGGGAAACAGGACCAGGTGTCTCCCATCCGAGCCCTGGGCAATCTCTGCATCTCAGATTCTGCCCTCAGGAGCTTTGCAACTACCACCCAATCTCTCACATCTGCCGGTCCCTAGTAGTGGACAAAGGATGGATCAGACCAAAAGWCTCCATGAAATGCCTCCTGGATGCCCTCGTGGTGGGTCAACCTGGTTCCAGTTTGGTGCAGCAGTTTTCTTAGCCTTTTCAGGACCTTTTTGAGCAAAGACCTTGTTTTTTGGAGAAGACTTAGTGTGAGACCATATTGAAGAAATACCACATTCCGTGGGGGGAATTTTGACTCATTTTACTCCACGGTGGTTTAACTGGAACTGTTTTTCTTAATGGTTACAGACGCATCTGGAGGGRAGAAGCGCTGTGGTCAGGCACCTGCAGGCAAAGTTCCAAGAGAACAGGGAAGAAGCTCCTGAAGTGGGTGGGTGGCTGGAGAGTCGCCCTGCTGCCTCCCAGGGATCAGAGCCAGGACAGACCCCTGCCATGGCCTGCAAGGGTGAGCCTCCTCCAGAGCCCCCCCGGAGCAGGAGGGTGGACTGCAGCAGGGCCTCTTCATCTCATAGTACAGGCCAGAGTCTGGGGCAGCCTCATCCTGCCTCTGACACCCTGGCACAGATGGTGCGGCGGAAGAAGGGGATGGCTCAAGATGCCAACCTCCACCCAGGACCTGCAAAGCCAGGAGGAGATGTGTTGAACAAGAAGGTGGGAGCCAGCTCTGATCCTCCCCAGAGGAAGCCAGCCCAGCAGACATGGCCACCCGCCAAAGACAAGGGAGCTCCAGCAGTTCCTGCCAAAGCTGTTTCAGCACCCCTGCTCACTGTGGGAAGCCCCCAAAGGACAGAGCACCCAGCTCTGCCCCGAAGGAAGCCTTTGCCACACSTCAGGGCACTGGCAGTGAGACCAGCCAAGCCCCGGCGCCCTCCTGTTGTGGATTTGTCAAAGTTCAGAGCGGCTGCACATCCTGGGACACCTGCACATCCCGGGACACCTGCCCATCCTGCCACAGAACCACCAAGGAGTGCTCAGCTGGGTATGGCCAGGCACCTGGCAGTCCCTCAGGGAAGGATGCTGCTCATTCAGGAAGGAAAATCTCCCCAGTTAGAGCCTGCGGCTCTTGGGAGGTGGAAATACTGGGAGGGCTGATGGAGAGATGGGGGCTGGTATTATAAAAGGGGCTTTTGTAGGCAGTAGCATGTGAATGAGCATGAGAAAGAGAGCARGTGAAGAAACAAAATGCCCCTCCCTGGGTGGGCACATGTTTCGGGCTCTGGAGTGTTTGAAGCAAGGTTGGAGTGAGTAACATGAGAGATGTTGCCAAGCTGCAGTGAGCCCAGTGTAGGGCACTAAGATGGTTGGGGACTGGATCCCATGGAGAAAGAAAGCCTGGGACCCAGATTTGTTGAGACRAGAGGGAGGAAGGGGAGATCTCACTGCCCACAGCTACCTAATGGGGAGAAAATGGGACCAGACCCTTCCCAGAGGTGCCCAGGAGCAGACCTGGGGGAGATGGGCATGAGCAGTAGGGGYAGTGCCAGTTAGACATTGTCCTGCCACGCTCCACTGTGGCCTTCCACATCTAGGCTGCTTTGGTGGTTTCTCACAGTTGCTGTTCTACTAATCCRTGCTTGAGGTGATGAAACCTTTTTCAAATCCCATTTCTTGCTCACTTTAACTGTGAGAGTAGATTTCCCTTCCTTTCCTTATGAGAACTGAAAAATCAAGCACTGTGTTATGATTAAAAGGTGTTATCAGGGCTGGCCATGCTGTTATGCTGGGAGATTCTCACAACAGGCCCTGGCCCAGGACTGAGCTGCCCTGGTAAAGGAGGGAAGGATCTGCTCTCCATGTCCTGCAAACCAGCAGTGTGTAGTAGTATTTATTTATATAAAATACTAGTTGTAGTGTTTATTTATTTGTCTCATGAGTCCTGAGGCAAGTTGCAACATCTAGAATTACACCTTTCCTTGATTTGATATTTTTTGTTAAWTTTTAGGGCAATCTTATAATTTTTAGGACCAGGTGTCTGATTGTGTATTGCTCGGTACCATGAACCAGCAGAGATGTGATATTCAGGTCTTTGTGCCCATTTTTGGTTGGTCTGGTTGACCAGGCTAGAGACAACGCTCATGATACAAATAATGGATGTTAGCAGGGGTGTGGTCATGCTGGAAGTCCTCAAAGAGTGCAGCAGCATGTTCTGGCTGATGATGCTCCTGAGCATGTGGAGATATCCACGATTTGGTACAGATCTGAAATTGAGAGTTTTCGCCCCATTCATGATACCTGTGTTGGCCTCTTCCCCTCTCTTTCCATCATTTGTCCAGGAAGAAAATAACATTAGAAATATACAAATGGGAAAATAAATACTCAAGGCCCTCAGTGAGGAACCTGATAARCTGTGCACCAGTGTGCTGGAAGGAAATCCCTAGATGGGCTATGGGGTAAAAACTCCTTGCTCTATCAAAATGTGCAGTCAGTTTTGTCTCCCCACCTCCCCCTGTAGTAAATCCAGCCCAGAGTGGCTCTGACCTCAGGGTGGGTAATAGAGATGAGGACAAAATGTGAATTAATCTCTCCCTGCTCCCTCCCGTTCTGCTGTTTGCCACAGGTCACCTCAAACCAGGCTGTGCTGCGTTGGTGCCTGCACGGCTCCTGCTGCAGGATGCTCCGAGGGGCACGGGGTAAGGACAAAGGCAGCWCTGCTATTCAAGCTGGCTTCCAGGCTGTGCCAAGCCCCTGGGAAGGGCACAAGAGGGGACTGCAAGAGGATCTTYGGGTTTTCCTGCCTGCTGCTGGAGCCCAGGGTGCAAGCAGCTCCCCCAGTGTGAGGCATGGCCATCCCCCGGGGCTGTGTTACCGCGCTGCTGCCATCGCCCCACACTGCCCAGCCATACCCAGCTGTGTGCAGAGCTGCTGGCACAGCCACGGAGCTGCTGTTCAGCTCTGCCCCAGAGCCAAGGCCAGCCCACGGCCAGCCCACCTGCTTGTTGCCCATCCTTCTCCTGGCAGCCCTGGTTCTGCCCTCGGCCCCCAATGCCCTCGTTGCAGCAGCACTTCCTAATTGTGGTCTGCCTCACGACAGGGATGAAGATGAGATATATGATGACATTGAACCTTTTGCGTTGCCCGGGAGAAGCCCAGGCCTTCTGCTGCCTTCTGTGTCCCAGCCACCAGTGTATCCTCGACCCAGAGGAGGTGGGTACCAGAGGGGCTCACATGCTCTTTGGGCTGAGAGCTGCAGCCCTGAGAGCCTTGACACCCTGATGAGCCATGGGCAGCAGCAGGGCCTGTACTAAACCTCCTGCTCCCCCACACAGGAGGGCACTGTGTTCCTTCTGTGTATGGGCCCAGGAAATCCTGGTACCCCCACACTTGGGGGCAAACTCAGGGTTTGATCCCTGGAGAAAGCTCTTGCTGCTCTTTCTGTCCTGTCTTGGCAGGACAGCCAGYCTCATGGCAGTGCCTCTCCATGGGTTTGGTTTTACAGGTGATGCTGGCCGAGCCTCTAACAGGGTTACCTTGCTGGCAGCTGCACAGAGGTAATGGAGGGTTTTTACTCTTTCTGAGGGTCCCCAAATGGCATGGGCTCCTTGCTGCTCTGGCAAAGCTGGTGCTTTAATGGTCTCTGCTGAGCTTGTGATATAAAAGGTCCATGGGSAAGAGCACAAGCTGCAGGCTGTACACCTGGCCTGAGAGCCCCCACAGCCCCAGAGCTGGCACAGGGAAATGCAATGAGGCAGCAGCCARGGGGGAGAATGGGACAGGAGGGAGCAGCACATGGGGTCATCTGAACCTTCCCATGGCCTTCAATGACTGCAGAGAACCCCAGGTCTCTCAGAAGATGAAAACCATGACACTCAAGGAATGCAAGAAAGAAGAGAAAATGGACAGGGAGTTCCAGAAGAAATTCAAGGTGAGCAGCAGTGACTGATCACTTTTCCCTCTGATCTCCCTCTCCCTTCCTGGGAAGGGCACGATGCAATGGCAGAAAGGAGCAATGCTCCACAGGGACCAGYGATACCAGGTCACACCCTGCCTTGTTCCCCCATTCATGCCTGCCCCATTCCCCCAGATCAGAYCAGTCTCACAGACCATTTGGCTAGAGAGGAATCTGCTTTTTTCAAGGCGGGAGAGCAGCCAGGCCTGCCTGACTGAGCTCCCCTGGGACACTGCTGTTTGTGTTTCAGTTTGAAGGCAGCATCAAAGTCCTGACTCAGATGATGGTCGACCCTGCAGCATCAGAGAAGAGGGGAGGAGGGAAGAACCTGCCACTGAGATGTGGAGAAATCCTTGATGTCATTCAGTTTACAAATCAGGAGCAAATCCTCTGCCGGAACAGCCAGAGGAGGTGTAAGTCTGGAGCGGGGTGGGGTTTGCCCACAGCTCGATGCACAACACAGCTTTGGGAAAGAGATTCTTCATGCAAATACCCCCTGACAAACATTGTCCACCTGTTTGACAGATCTAACAGGTACTCTGCTACCCTGAGAAGGTTCCCACTTTTCTATGCACAAATGTCCTGCTCTTCCTTCTGCTCAGCTGCACCATTTCTGCTGTGAGCTGGGTTTGTCCCTTCCCTCTGCTAAAAGCCTTTGCATTCCTTGAAGCCTCCAGGCCACCAGCCTGACATGCTTTGCCATGGGCTCAAACTCCACAAGCTGTGTCTGCACTGAGGGATGCTCAGGTGTARTGGGCTGCAGATGCCTCAGGCAGAGAGGAAGGGATCAGGCTCTTCCCTGCCAGCTGCCATCCATCCTGGCAGGCTCCTTCCTGACCCTGYCCAGAGCAGGTTCCTCCCAAGGGTCCAGCTTGGCTTCTCAGAACTGGTTTCCTCCTTGTCCCAGCTCTCTCTGGGACATGAGGTGTTGCTAATCCCCGGGCAGGGGCAGGTGTTGGGGTGATTCCTGCTGATGCCCTGGTTCCCAGCACCRCCTGACATGGTTTTTCTCACTCTGTTGCAGATGGCTACGTGCCCCAAGCCGTGATGCTGCCCCTGTGAGTACCCTTTCCCAGCCCCTTCCTCTCTACTCCATGAGCTGCAACATCTGCTTCCTGGTTGGCCAGCACCAAACTAGTCCTGGCTGACAACTCAGAACTACCCAGCTCTGGCAGTGACCATAAGCCTAACACCAGCTGCTTACTCTGGGGAGGAATCTGCCATTTCTGGTGTCAGGAGAGGCTCTGGGGCACTGGGAACACTCCCCAGACTGTGGTCCCTTACGTGGCACCTGCCCTGACACTGCACAGAGGCTGCTGCTGGCACAGGATGAGGTGCAGCCCCTGTGCAGGATCCCAGCAGCCTGGGACAGGGCCACCATCCTGGGACAAGGCCACCATCCTGAGAGGAGCCAGGGTCAGGTTAACCCCACTCCAGCTGGTCCCAGCTCTGCAGGGAGAGCACAACACTGGGAGGGGGAGGCAGGGTGGACACCAGAGCCCACAGACATGTCAGGACAAATGGGACAGAGCAGCAGGAGCTGGCCCTTGCCTTGGGATTGGGAGGCACTGGGGACATGGGAGACCAAACTGCCCACAGCACCCCCTCTTTGTCCTTGCAGGGACACTGACATCTACGATGACGTTGAGATTTATGGTAGGTGCAGAGAACTGCTGCCACACCCCTCCACCGGCCACAGTGACTCCCACACCAGTACCACAATTCCCCTCCTCCTGACCTTTTCCTTTTTTGATGTCTTCCCTCTCTCCCTTCCCTCTGTGTGATTCCTCTTCCTCTCCCTGGGGTATCCTTTACTGACTTTCAGTTCTCTTAAGGTTTTCATGTTCCTCTGTTCCCAGTTATTTGGATTTCTCTGCACTCTGTCATTCTCAGCTTGCTGCCAGCCTCAGRGCCCCTTCAATGTCCTCTGAGGTGTCCCTGATCCTCCAGACAACTCAGACCCCCCTTTCCCAAGCTGTTGCTGTCTCCTAACATGCAGACTCCACCTCTGGCTGGCAGGTGGCTCTGAAGATGGARCTGAATAGAGACAACTGTATTTCAGCTCTGCTCACAAGCACACACTTTATCAAATCCTGGCAGGCTGAGCCATCCACACTAAGGCCAAAGGCACAAGACAGCACCACAGAGACCTCCCCAAGGGCCAAGACATGAACTGCACCAGACACCAGGCTCCTTTTGTGAAGGAGCTCCACTGCTTCTGAGACAGACTGCAAATGYACCGTGTCCTTGCCAGAAGAGCAGCACAGCAGCTCAGCACATGGGACTGCACAGGTCCTGTCCCACAGGGCAGGGGGCCACAGACCCTCAAGTCACACCTTCACTGTGGCTCTGTTTTGTCTGTATAAAATATGGCAAGAGGTTCAAGAGGGTTTTGTGGCCTTATTTTGGATTGGGGGTTGAGGGGGAGGGGTAAAATCAGGCCCATAAAGGTTTTAGTATTTCCCATTCCCAGAGCATCTTCAGCCTGGGACACACCCGCCCTTCCTKTCTGCACTGTGCTCCAGACCCAGTGACACTCCTGGTGTGAACCAGAGGCAAACTGTGCATAGAAATACTCTAAAATGGAYCAGGATGCTCCAGCAGCACCTCAAGGGCTTGGGGCAGCTTTCCAGGAGAGCTGTCAGGAGGTCGGATCTTTTGGGGCCGGTATTTGTGTGGGAACATTCAGCCTTGGGCTGGCATCTGCAGGTGCTGTGGGAAATTCTCATTAACTGGGAAAGTTTYCCTTTGCAAACCYTCCCCTCACGAAGCCCTCACAGAAGGGGGTGGGACAGGGGTGCACTCACAGATCTGGTGCAGGACCCAGCTCCGGTGGCAGGACCCAAATCCTTCTGGAGCAGGAACAGTGATAAGAAGGGAGCAGGGGCTGAATCCCTGCTCTCAGTCTGCACACCAGCCCCCATCCCAGGGGCTGCAGGGTTAAACTGGGAGGGTTCGGCACCTCCCCGGCAAGATGCCAAGCCCAGATTAACYGGTTGAAGACGTCACTTTCCATTATGGGAAAGGATCCCAAATATCCCTGAAGCTTTTGGTTGTGGGGATTAGCCACCAGCACACTGAGCTCCCGGCAGAGAGCAGGGGTCCATTGATGCCGTGGGGCCCGTGGCCATGAGCGGGGCTGGGAGCTGCTCCCAGGGGCATYGTCTGGGGGGCTGAGGGCCATCATGTGGGAGTGGGTCCGGAGAGCTCTGCTGCACTCGCTGTCCACGGCCCTCCTGCGCCTCTGGAAGTGGSTGAGGGCTTTCTGGTACAAAAATGGCCTCTTGACTCTCTCGATGCTGTCTGTKGTCACCGGATGCCTCCTGGGCTTCCTGCTGCGGGCACTGGAGCTGACGGACCTGGTAAGCCTGGCTGGGATGGGGATGGGAGCGAGTGGGATGGAGTGGGGACAGGGACAAGCCCTGGTGCCAGTAAGGGTTCCAGATGGCCACAGCCCCAAAAGCAAAGGCTCCTGCCCAAGAAAACCACCTCAGGMTAGGTTTCTGTCCATGGCCTTTCTTTGTTTTTATTCTTTTTTTTTGACCAAGAAGGTGCCAACAAATGCTAAAGCTACAGGACGAATCCTACCTCCCTCCCGTGGGAGTGTGGAGCTCTGACTTGGACCCCATGGGGCTGCAGGAGCCTTGAGGTGGGATGGGGATGGGAAAAGGGGGAATGGTTACTCAGCTGCTAGATGCTTAATAACAGGGTCCCCCCAACACCAGCAGCAGTGCTGGGGTCTGAGGGATGGGGTCTGAGGGATGGGGGTCTGAGGGATGTTGTCTGAGGGATGGGGTCTGAGGGATGGGGTCTGAGGGATGGGGGTCTGAGGGATGGGGTCTGAGGGATGGGGGTCTGAGGGACCGGGTGCTCCCATTACTCTCTCCAGCTATGTGCAATCAAAGCACGTTTCCATGCTCTGGAGAGGACCCAGCAAAGATACAGAGGGTTGGTGGGGATCCTGGAAGGCTTCCAGGAGTCAYCTTCCTTTGAGGAGCCTTGGAGACAAAACGCATTGGAGAAAATGCACCCCAAAAGCACGTTGGCTCAGCACTTTCAAGGAGCATCGCACTGCAGAACAGCACCGAGCTGAGATCCACTGCCACGGGGCAGCKGGGCTCTGGCTCAGCCCTGATCCTCAGCCAGGCTGCTGAGCCCAGCAGGGAGAATCTCGCTCCAGGGGAGCTCGGCTGGTGCTCCAACATCCCTGTGTTGCCATTAGGATTTAGCAAAGTCTTGTCATTTCAATTAGGCCCTTAAGCATCAGCATAACAGGGATGATCTCGTTACTTAATTGAAGCTGGGTGTAATCTCCCTGCATCCCAGTGTCCACACCCGTGAGAGCCCAGTGGCCACCCACGCTGGGCAGGAGGTCTTGGGGCTCCAGCCCCTCATCCTGCCATGCAGCAGGTTTATCCATTCTCTGCTCCAGCCCCATCCTGCCCCATTGCCACAGCTCTGCTGTGGGCCTGGCAGCTACCAGAGTCTTCCCCATTTGAGACCTTTGTCACAAAAGCTGGAGGAGAGCTGGAGAGGTGGCTGATCCCTGCTTTCCTCCCTGCAGTGGGAAAATTTCATAAAGCTGAGAGACCCAGTGGCGAACAGACGCTGTTCAGATCTGGCATTACCCCTTGCACCCATCACAGCTCCACTCTTCCACTCTGCCTGAGCACCCCAGGGACATCAGCCATGTCCAGGCCACATACTGGGACAGTGCAGGGACAGTGYAGGGACAGTGCAGGGACAGCACAGGACAGCACATGGGAGCAATTGAGCAGCTGCCTTGGCACCCCTCAAAGCCCCAGCATGGGGTGATGGCAGCTTTGGAGTAACCAAATGTACCTGCTTGGCTTGGGGCCAACTAAAATCCCTCCCTGACACTGCTACAGGGGCACCATGAAATAGTGGGAT